TCTGATATGAATTGATTTCTTCCATAGTGGTACTGTGCCCGGCGAGCTCCGAAATAGCCTAACTGCACACAGAGCAGATGGTCCACAGGGGTTTGGCGGGTTTTTATTGGCCAGAAAGGAGGTGTGTGTAATGCGCCAACATCTGCCTCAACGGGGTTTGGAGAGTTAGGAGGTACTTATGCTCATCAAAGCGCCGGGTTCGGGGGTTTGGGGTAAGGAGATGTGCTCTACCAGTTCCTGGGGTAAGGGGAGGTGAGGGAGGCATGTAGCATGCAAACGCCTCCGAGTCCGGACCATCTGTTCTGTGTGCATTTAGGCCAAGCCGCGAGCTCCCGACAAGCTCCTGGTGCTGACCAATCAGCTACCTCGAAGCTCCTATCGAAGTCGAACGAAGTTATGAGTCGGTCACCTGCTGATGGCAACTGAGATGGATGTCATCCCCTACCCGCCCGAGGCCGACCGTTTTTTGCAACAAGATCACATTGCCGATCGTCCTGCACCGCGACCTCCAGTCGTTGACGCCGCCTTAGTCGCTGGTGTCTCTGGATGACTTCAACAAACTGCTTTGCCGCCATGCCGAATGCCTTTATGGAGCTTGTCGTTATGGGCAGCCACAAGGGCCCCGGGCGACTACTGTACAGAAGAGCAAGATGCACCCCCGCGCCGCCGCCTGCGCAGCCACTGCCTGGCGAGCGGATGAAGATTTAGATTGCTCGTCTCTACGCATGCGAAGTCTTTGTAACACCCAAGATAACGTGTTTCGCGTTATCTTCGTTCATGTAGAGTCATCCCCTATCAGCAGCGGCACGATACACGATCCATTGAAGTGTGAATATCATGTACTAGTATACTATCATGGCGACGCATAGTATAAACCAAGCTCGTAGGAATCAGGTCTAAGCGTAGTTGAGAACTAGCGCACTTGTATACTCGCGGTATTGGTTCAAAAGGAGGTTAGGAGGTCGGACGGAACGCCTCGAAGCCATCGTGAGCGCCCATGTTGAACGAGGTGGATGCGTCGTGAAGATTCGCTCCCCGAAAGAATTGGCCCGTACTCCATATGTTACATAAAATGTGACGCACCCTGCAAGCGATTTGCATCGAAGGTCTGGACCTCGCCAGCCGCCAGATTCAGAGTGACGCCAGCCCATGGATGAAGCGGCGTGCTTGCTCTTGTATTAACATGTACTAGTAAAAAAGAACCAAGGCGAAAGTGATGTAGTAGAGAAAATAGTTTGGCGTCATCGGCTTGCGCGCATGGAACTCGTCGTGCTACCAAGAGAAGCTGTCGACATCGAGCAATGCTTGCTAGCACAGCCATGAGCCCACTACCGGTATGTCATGTTCCGCGAGAAAACATCGAGTTTGTAGAATACGGCCGTGGGAGCTACCCACGTCGCATGGTCGACCATTTTGCTGCGCGTTCGCCGAGCTCCCCTTAGGAACCGCCATGCCCGTTGTAAGGTTGACGCAGGCGCAAGGCGCTGCTCATTTGCTCGCGATTAAAGCTCGAGGTCTCGGCGTACAGTGCTACTGCAACCGCAATGTTGCCTTTTGGATTCCGAATCATCGCATGGAACCTCAAAGCGGCTCTCCAACCGCCCGTCGCACCCGGCGTGCGTGGCGTCCGCACCTACAAACTTCCATATTAGACGTACATTACCGTACTACACCGTACAACGCCAAACATATTTTAATGTGCCGTTCTAGGTCAGTTTGTATGCTTTAAATTAAAATAGCTCCGAAGCGTCCGAATCAGATGTCTGAAATTGCCTTTCGTTCTCGCACCGAGTTATCAGAAGCGTTCGGGCAACTGAACGCGATGGCGCGGAATCGCACTGGATCATCATGACCATTTTTGTCTTTGATCCATGCACCGCAGCATCGATCACGAGGCGCTCTCGTCGCTCTATGCGAGCCGGAAGCGATACACGGCGACGGGCGACGAGGACGTCCGGCCGAGCCTCGTGAGCGCGATCCTGCAGTCGCAATACCCAGACAGCCGCCGCCACCGACACAGCGCCCACCTCTCAACGAATGCGCTCCGCACCAACAAGTCGTGGAACTTTCTCGAGTCATCCAAGCAGCTGCAGAGCCCACTCGACGAAGCCTCGGTGATCGCCAAGCTCACATTGGCGTGGCTCAACCCACTCTTCAAACAAGGTGCCACCGAGCCCTTGGACGCAGATGACGTGCCGTCGCTGCGCGCTAAAGACAGCGTCTTGCTCCTTCACAAGCGCTTTCAAGCACGCTGGATCCCTGAGCAGCAGTCGAACGCACCGCGTCTATTTCGAGCGCTGCTATGGACGCTGGCACCCGAACTCGCTCGTGCATTTGGCTGCCACGGTCTCTACCTCGTCATCAACCTCGTGATTCCGACAATGATCAAGGGCATTGTGTCCTACCTCTCAAGCGGTGTCAACCCTGTCACGAAAGCGCCCGACCAGCCGCTGGAGGCCGGCCTTGTCTTTGCCTTTGGCCTCGCGCTCCTCTCGTTCCTTGGTGTCACCGTCCTCGGCTTCGCGTGGTCCGTCAACATTGAGCTCAGCAATTGCGCGCGGTCGATCGTCATGGACCAAGTGTACTTGAAGGCTGTCTCGGCACCGACGGTGGCGACGACCACATACACATCGGGCGACGTCATGACGCTGGCCAACATTGATAGCGAGCGCCTCTTCCACGGGCTCACGTGCATCTGCTACGTGTTGCTATCGCCGCTGGCGCTCCTTGCGATTTTTGTGCTCATTGGCTTTGAGATGGGCCCCATTGTTGCAATCACGGGCGCTTGCACGATGGCGGGCTTCCTCCTCTCGGCGTTCGGCCTCTCGTACGCCTTGTCGGCGGCGCGGGATCGCCTCGTGGACGCCACTTCGCGGCGCCTCTCGCGCACGCAAGAACTGCTCCAGAGCATTCGCACCATCAAGCTCGGCGCGTACGAATCCACCTTGCTGGACGCAGTGTTCCAGCTGCGCGCGATCGAGCTCCGGTGCCTCGGGTGGTTCCAGCTCCTCTGCAATGTCAACATCGACGTCTTTGTGCTCGCACCCGTCTTTACGACCGTGGCCATGTTTGCTGTCGCTGACACGGCCGAGGTCTCGGCCGGCGCCGCGTTCGCCGTCGTAAGTCTCATGGTCGTCGCGCGCTTTCCGTGCAACATCTTTCGTCGGCCGTGCGGTATGCCTCCGAAGCCATCGTCAGCTGCGATCGTATCCAAACATACCTTTTGGCGCCGGCGCCGAGGCGTCCGAGCGCCGTCGACTCCAAAGCCGACTGGATTGCACTCACGCAAGCAAGCTTTGCGTGGTGTCCACCGACGACGGATGCGACGCCACAGCCCTCGGCGAGTGAGCCGACGACACCTGGTCTCGCCGCGCCGCTCCCGATTCCGTCGCCCCAAGAGACGTCGCACGCGATTCTTAAAAACATTACGTTTCGCCTACGACGCACCGAGGTGGGGTCCTTCACAGTTGTCGTCGGTCCCGTCGGCAGCGGCAAGTCGAGCTTCCTCCGCGCCATGCTCGGTGACATGTGGCCGCGACCCGCGATCGCTGGCAACATGGCGTACGCGAGCCAAGAACCGTGGCTCATTGACGACACGGTGCGCAACAACGTGTTACTGCACCGACCGTATGTGCCGAGCCTCTATCGACGCGTTCTTGGCGTCACCGGGCTCATCCTTGACACGGCAGCGATGGCGTCGGGCGACTTGACCATGGTCGGCGAGCGAGGTGCGGCGCTCAGTGGTGGCCAGCGTTCCCGTATCAATCTCGCGCGCGCTTTGTATCAAGTGGATAGTGCCGACATTTTCTTGCTCGATGACCCGCTCAGCGCGCTCGACCTCCACGTCGCTTCGCACGTCTTTCACGAGGTCAAAAGGTTTCTGCGCGGCAAGCAAGTGCTCATGGCAATGAACGCGCACCACCACTTGCTCGTGCACGCGACGCGCGTCATCACGCTCACGGCGGGTACGATCGTCGGTGACGAGTCCTCAACCAGCCGGACGACTTTGTACAAGCAAGGAGGGGCCGACTCTCCGGATGTCGACGACGACGGCGAGGACAACGATGGCTTTGTGGTGCTACCGGCCATGGACACCATTGCGTCGTCGGTGGTCGAGCTGCCAAACCACGACACACCGGCAGTGTTGGACACAACGGCCAGTGTCGCTGCTTTGGACGACGATATGGCGCCGCCGATCGGGAAGACCTACTTGGCCTACCTCGGCGCGTCGGGCGCGGCGCCGTGGCTCGTGCTCCTGACGCTCATTGCGCTTTACACCGTCTACCAAGTCGCGTACTATATCACGGACTATTACCTGGACACGGCCGTCGCCGCGGGCAAAGGGAGCATGGAGACGTACGCGGGCTTGGCGCTGGCGACCGTCGTCGCGAGCTGTCTCAAGGACATGTTTGTGATCTTGGTCTCGCTGCGCTGCTCGGCCAGTGTGCACGCAAAGGCCCTCACTCGCGTCGTCGGTGCGTCGGTGCCGGCGTTTTTCGATACGACGGCGCTCGGCGACATTCTCAACCGGTTCTCGACCGACCTCGCGGCGATGGATACGGACTTGCCGTACTTTACGTACCAGTTTGCCACCGACGCGTTCCATACGACGTGTATTGTGCTCGTGGTGTGCTACTACACGCCGCTGTTGATTGCGCTCTTCCTCCCGCTCGGGTACCTCTTTGTGTCGTACCAAATGTACAATTTGCTCTCGGCGACGGCGCTCAAAGGCCTCGACCTTGCGTCGCGCGCACCGTTGGTGACCAACTTGAGCGAGACCCTCGACGGCCGCGCGACGATCCAAGCCGCACACGTCGAGAAGGCGTTTGTCGAGAAGCACCGCGTCTTGATCGACGCCAACGCGGCGTGCTACGGCATCTACTGGCTCGCGGGCACGTGGCTCGAGATTCGCCTCGGCTGGCTCAGCGCTCTCGTTGTCTCGGCCGTCGCGATCGCCATTGTATGCTTGCGGGCGTCCATGGATGCGCACATCGCCGGCCTCGTTCTTGTCTACGTCATGAGTCTCTCGGCCAACGTCCAAGAAGTGCTGCGCGTCATGGGCTATGTCCAAACGTACACGACGTCGGTCGCGCGCCTCTTTGCCTACCATTCGCTGCCGGCCGAAGTCGATTTGGTCGCGACGGCGTCAGCGCCATGGCCCTCCCACGGACGCATCTGCTTTGATCAGTACAGCATGCGCTACCAGCCGCATCTGCCACTCGTGCTCTCCAACATTAGCCTCGTCATTTCGGCCGGCGAAAAGGTTGGTATTTGCGGCCGGACGGGCTCGGGGAAAAGCTCCCTCCTCTCGGCGTTGATGCGCCTCGTGCCGGGGGACGCAGGCTGCATCACGATTGACGGCGTCGACGTCACGACCGTGCCGCTAACGACGCTCCGGTCGCGCATCACGGTGATTCCGCAGAGTCCTGTGCTCTTTGCGGGGTCGCTTCGCACCAACTTGGACCCAACGGGCGAAGCCACGACCGAGGCGCTAACCTTAGTCCTAAACCAGATCCATTTGGCACACCTCGGTCTCGACTTTGTCGTCGAGAACGGCGGCAACAACGTCTCGGTCGGGCAGCGCCAGCTTGTGTGCTTTGGGCGCGCGCTCTTGCGCCAAAGCCGCATCGTGATTCTCGACGAAGCGACGGCGTTCGTCGACGCAGAGATGGAACGTGTTCTGCAAGAGATGCTCGCCAAGTGCTTTCGCCACACGACGATGCTCACGATCGCCCATCGGCTGCAAACGATCATCGACAGCAGCGACAAGGTGCTGGTGCTCGACGCCGGTGCCGTGCTCGAGTTTGACGCGCCGACGACGCTACTCCGCGACACCAGCAGCGCGTTTTATCAGCTCGTGCAAGCCACGTCCTAGTGTCCATTATCTATTTTACAAAGAGAAATGTATCTGACCAACAATGCTCGGTGCTACAATGCAGTATCCAGACCAGCATGACGTACAGGTAGCAACAGTAATCGAGGCTTTGCTGAATGTTTTGGAGCTGCAGGTTCTGAGTGCAAGTCGAGGACGTCATCAAAATCACACAACACAGATGTGCATTTCGTCATGACCAGTTGCAAGTATCTCCGATCCTCTCCGTGAACAAGCCGGTGAACAAGCAGACAACAACGGGTGCAGGCGTCAAATTTTGCAGACAACGACTGTCGAGCAATGGAGCAGTGCGAGGTGACCAGGGTAACGTGGTATCACGTACGCCAGGCATCAGAGCTACTCTGGTAATGGTTCACGTTGCGTTCTTTCTGTCGCGCTCCGTCACAACGAGTGGCATTGAATCGCCATTTGTTTTGTTTTCGACTTGAATGCATCGAGTCTTTTGGACCGTAGATATGCAGTCGCCATTTGTATTGGCCATACAGCAAAATGTACGAAGAGACGCAACTGCGGCAACATATCCCGGCAACTTGCATGGCCGTTCAAACAAGCCTTTTTTGTCCTACTCGCAGCTCTGTTGAGTGTCATTGGTTACAGCGCCGTCGGGTGCCCGCGCTGCAACAGACACGCAGCAAAAAGGTGGACCCAAGACTCGCCAATCGAGACCATGCAGTAGTCCATTGGATTACTTGCCTTTGACAATGCCGCTCCTTGATTTGGTCAATCAAAGACGCTTGTCACGCATGGACGCAGTATGTAGAGTAACCGAAACAAATAACACGTCGGTAATCTGCCGCGAGGCTGTCGAGAGCGCTTGTCGAGAGCTCAGATTTTACATATTGGATGCATGTATAGTTGTAGAGTTGCAAGTCTGTCGACAGATGCACCGGGCAGAGTTGGATGACCAGTTAGTGCTCTTGGCAAAAAGTTCTCCCTTAGTGCGGCCGAATGCTTGCCGTAAGATCGTACCGTAAGATCAGTCGCGTGTAAACTGGTGGGCATGCGAGACGCGGTCGTTTGTAGGACATGAAGCTTGGACTGTCAAGGGTGAAAATAATGCTTTCTTTTGATCACCTTTGCTGTACTACACGTATGATAAGTACCGGTAGTGCGCTTGTTGGTCTTAATGCGCTTGCGACATGTGGATCGCCACCATGTGTGCGACGGGCAACAATACAGACCATCACTCTGTAAATCGCGCCCATTGATGCCAATGAGCGCCAGAGCTGAGCGCCACCGCAGTTTGGAATTTGCACGCCATGACATCGACCGAGTGTTGCTTTCACGGCTGCACCAAGACAGCGCTCGCTGGCTCGATCAAGTGCCACTTCCACCGCAACCGGACAAAGTGCTCGGTCCTCGAATGCTGGAACCAAGTGTACGCACGGCAGCGCTGCGTGAGCCACGGAGGACGCAAGCCGTGCATCGTGGCCGGGTGCAACGCCAACGCTCGGCTCGGCGACTTGTGCGGCCGTCACAGTGTGAAGTCTGACAAAAAGATCTGCTCGATGCCGGGCTGTGCGAGTCTCGTGCACACACAACAGCGATGCGTCCGACACGGTGGGGGGCGTCCATGTAAAATTCAAGCGTGCGGTACCCTCGCGCGAGCAGGAGGCTACTGCTACCGCCACGGCAAGCAGTACCAAGAGACGGCGTCGCCGTGCAAGACAAACCACGGGTCGCCACAGCTTGACGGCATCACGTGGGACGCTCGCACCATGCAGATCAACCTTGGCTACGAAGACAACATCGATCTATCAATCTTAGATTGCCTGATTTCGGAAACGATATCCGATGATATTTTGTATAATACTACGTTTTCAATTTGAACTTTACACTTTGAGCTTAGTCAGTTTTGATTTGCGCATGCACCTGTGGTGTGGTTGATATGATGGCCTTAAATTTATGGCCTCGTTGACACGTTGATGAGGTGCCGGTGACCGTAGTCAAGTATGACGCTTCATGGTGGCCTTACAGTAGCCCGCACATTGAACCGACAGAGATCGACGACCTTTTTTGGCGGTCAAAATACCGACTGCAAAGCTGTTATGCATGCCAAATGCACTGCAAATGGATAGTCAAGACAAAGAAGAACACCTTGACAGCTTGATCCTCTTCGTAGCATGTTTAGTTGTGAAGAATTTGAAACTCGAAGTGAGGCAATTTCCAGAGGTGGAGGCTAAAATATGTCCACCCTCGCCTCGTGTACCCCGGGTCGCCTCACCCATTATCTGGATTAAAATACGCTAACGCGATGATGTATCCCGGGTCATAACTATTCGTGGGTGCAGCACTCAGCCATGGGGCTCAGGAACAAGCGCGCTTTGCAGCTGGATCGCGCCAGGGCGGCTCGTGAGGCCAAGCGACAAGCACTTGCGCTTGGCGACGTCATCAAACTGGACTCCGAAGGGAGCGATAGCAGCGAAGAAGAAGGTGGTCTTGGCGCAACATATGCAGCATGAAAACGGGACGCCAAATGACCTTCTTGCGGTCCTTCGCGAGCGCGAGATACTCGGCCCTTCCGAGACGATCCATGGGCAGTACAGGGAGACGCCATAGGCAGTACAAGGAGACGCCCAGCACAAATGAAGAACCATTCTCTTGCGGCGCGGTCAACTTGCTCGACCACCAACCCGACATTGCCATGAAGAAGTCGATGCTTGAAGAGATCTTTGGAGGTACCGGTCACATCATGGAACTCCTCCCCAAGTTCCAAACCAAGTTCAACCAGATCAAAATAAATTGGTGAGGCGCCAGGGTCTACTGCCGAAAACACTACGACTGTACGTTAAAGGAAGCACCTTAATAAATGGTTCCACTATAGGTTATGTACCCTGATGTTGCTGCGGCTCACAGTCAAGTCCTTCTTGTCCAGAATTATGATATATATCGATGCGGGCAAGAAAAGTATAGGCGGTTAGGATATATGGCTTTCACCCATACGACCCGGGTTCGAGTCCCGGTTAGGGAAATCTTCTTTTTACTTTTTCCACTTTTCATACGGCTTTTACAAATACGACCTCTCATGCTGCATTTGTCATTTTGGTGCGTGCATTCCTATTGAAAAACGCCCCTGGTGCCTTTTTTTTCAAATTTGGTGCATATTTGACCCGTCCAAAGCGCCATCAATAGCCCCGAAA